ACAGTGGACTACCAGTAAAATTGATTCAAATTTGGGACCAAAAATTTGATTTGACACTTTGACCTGACCATGTTTTGTTAGTTACCTTTCTATCAAAGTTATCTGACATTATCAAGATGAATTTGTATTGACACAGTCTAACTCTTAAGTTCTTGTCATATTTTATTACAATTTTCTAAACTATAGCGAATAAACTGTGATAATGTGAGAAATTTTGAATACATTTTGGTTTGACTGTAATTCATTTGTGATTATCAAGATGAATTTGTTCCGACACAGTTTAACTCTGAGTTCATGTCATATTTTATTACTATTTTCTAAACTATAGCGAATAAACTGTGATAATGTGAGAAATGTTAAAGGTGTCTGAATAAATTTTGGTTTGACTGCATATATACTGTATATATATATATAGAGAGAGAGAGAGAGAGAGATAAGCAGTATTTTAATTAAATGGATTTGAAATACGTATTTAATTACTAAATACATATTTTGTCATTTGTATTTTGCTGGACAAAAAAGAATCAAAAGTAATTTGTATTTAAATACTTTGAGAGACAGTATTTTGTATTTGAAATACTCAAAATACATAATCAAGTATTTCATTTTATTCTCAGATAATACAATATCTTTCTTCACAAAAAACACAATACTATTTATACATGTATTTATTTAACACGCCAAGCTTCTTATTTACATTTCCTTGCATTTGTACATAACACACATGTACACACAAATACCATATAATTTTTATTTTGTATATTGTGTTCTTTCAAAAAATTGTTTTCAAAAAATTGTTTCCCCCCCCAAAAAAAATCTGTTGTTAATTGCTCACCCTCATGTCATTCCAATACTCTAAGACCTTTGTTTATCTTTGGAGCGTAAATCTGGCCATTTTTTGATGAAATCTGAGAGCTTTCTGTCCCTCTACAGTCAGTCATGCAACTTACACAAGGTCCAGAACGGTAAGAAAGACATTAAGCAATCCATGTCATTAAGTATATCATTAATCCAATTTTATTAAGTGATGTGAGTGCTTTCTTGGCACAAAAAGAAAAAAAACATAGTTTACCACTTAATTAATGTTGTGGTACTCCAGTGCAGTGGTTCTCAAACTTTTTACAGCGGCGTACCCCCTAGGGCATTTAACATTCTTCTGCGTTCCCCCTCTCTTCCACTTAGACCGCAGTCACACTTTTTCTATTAAAGGACAATATTTGCCCCCTTAAATTGATTTACAGGTGCATTTTTACCTTTATAGAGGCAAATATTTTCTATCCTTATTAATTGTATGTCATGTTTTATGTCATATTCTTAACATTTCATTAAGTGTATTATTAATATAATAAATAAAGCAATAAATGATGGCAAATCGAAGTGATAGCTGTAGATTTAAAAATAAAACCGGCCAGAATTTTTTTCACGTACCCCCCTCCGTCACCTCACGTACGCGTACCCCAGTTTGAGAACCACTGCTCTAGTGAACACTCACTCATGTACATTGTGTTGATGCAAGTCTTCTATGGCATAAACACATGCATTTTAATGCTCTTGTGAACACAATGCAGATCAATATTTTCATAAAGTTGTAAATAGTTTTATTGTGCAAACAAAGCACTCGTCTTGCTTAATAAAATTGTCACATACTTTAACAATGTCTTTCCTACCGTTCTGGGATTTGAATGTGTAAGTTGCGTTGCTGCCTATGGAGGGAAAGCTCTCGGATTTCATCAAAAAGATTTACATTTGTGTTTGGAAGAGGAATGATGGTCATACGAGTGAAACGACACAAGGGTGAGTTATTAATGACAGCATTTGCATTTTTGGGTGAATCTATACCTATAGATTTGGTAGTGGCATTTTTTGATCTACATATAGCAACCACATAAAGTAATGTGTTAAAAAACACTCAGCAAACCCTACCAATGTGTTTTATTCTGTTTTGCACAGTAAAAAAATCTAAAAAGTTGGTAAGACAAAAGTCTAAGGTGACAGTTCCACAGGTGGCCATGGCCAAGTGAGTTCATTGAAGAAAATAAAAAGAAAGTTATTACGCCTACCAAGTTCCTACGTAAAACCTAGTGTATACTCATAAATTCAACACAATGGAATAAAAACACTCATCAGCCACCCACAACACCCTAGCATAGCCGGCAGGTTCTTGCACATGCAACTCACTCACATTTTCTTCCGGAAATGAAGGTGGCACAGAAATTGAGAGTGAAGATGGTTTATCCGCGTGTCTTGAGGGTTCGAGCATCAGCTAAAGAAAGATGAAGCGCGAGGGCAACAGAGAAAAGAGATGTGAAATGAGCAGCGTTCAGATGAAAGCCCATGATGCCAGGGCTGGATGGATGCAGCTTTAGGGTCATGATGGAGCACATGCTCACGCCAGGAGGAGAAGAGCTTATGAGATCAGCAGCTCTGACCCTCTGACTCACACACAATCACGAACACACAGAGAGTCTCCAACCTCTCCAAGAAACCAAAGAGTATAGAAGACCAAGAGGCGAAAAATGCTTTTTTGGTAACAGCCACTAGGTGGCGCTTCGGTAGCGCACCCGCCATTTTGGAGTGAATATTCCAACTGAATAACAGCACAGATACACAGAAATAGACAGAATAACAACGAAAGAGAGGTCAAAGTGGAATAAAAGAACGCAATGTTGGGCAATCCACTGCAAAAACTATCGGTGTGACAGTAAAAATATTGCCTTTCATCGTTTTCCCAAAGACTCTGACAGGTAATTATTCACAAAAGTGTAAAAATATTGTGTGTTTTGAAGTGGGACGTAGCGCTGTCTTATGCACCTGCTAACTTTAACTGTTTTTAGTCTAGTAGTAAACTTAAATCCTTTTAGGAACTGCAGGTCTTAGCCATAGAAACCATAATAATGATTTATATGGATATGACATTAAGTAATGAGCGTATGCAACTTTACACATTTACAATTACTTACTATATTATTATTTACTATTACTCCACTAGGCCTGAAATATATATTGTACGTTTTAATCCCCTGGAACACACTACTAACATGATGATCTAGATTAGATGATGCATTGCTGTGTCTCTGTCATAATTAAATAATTAAACAATTTTGGAGAAAGTGGCTGTTCGTGTGTGGTTTTTATTGTTTTGTTTTGTTTACAGTCTTCCTTTAACGGACATTAATATAAGACAATAGTTATATTCCTGTTATATATTTATTGTCCAACATTCCAGATTTTTCTGTCATTAATTTAATTTCATATGTTGTCATTAATTCAGTGTTTACAATGCTAACACTTGAACTTAAATTATTTTCAACCGAAACTGACATGGTTTCTAGAGAGCAAAAGGTTTTGTGAAAAAAGGGAAGACTTTAAAATAAAGTCTGTAAAATAAACTGTTAAAAGGATTTGATGATCACTAGTCTAGTGATTGTACGTTATTGTTATCATTCAGGCTGTATTTCAGCTTTTTTAAACAAAGCAGCTGATATTTGCCATAGTGACAGCATGAATCTAGTGGACCGCCGAGTCGCCATCAATAAAAATATTCATCACCAATAAAATATTCTGTCTTTCCAAACCTATGTAGTTTGAGAGTAGTCTAATGTAGTCTAATTGTTTGAGACCATTAAAAGAAACAATAGTATTTTCAATAGTATTTTCGCTTGACATCAAAGTGTTGATGTGCAGAACACATTCTGGCTAGCTTTAACTGAAAATTGAGTGTTTACTACTGTCATTTTGCATTAATCACACACCATTTTCCTAATTAATGCTGTACAGTTGCTTTGACACAATCTGTATTGTTAAAAGCGCTATATAAATAAAGGTGACTTGACTTGACTGTAAAAATTATTGTGGGCTTCATTAATTTTTCTTTTGTTTTGACAATATGATGCATATTTTAAACAGATATCACACTAGTCATCACACTAAACATTATAATTGGATCTATAAATCTGTATAAAGTAAGTAAAGTAAATTAGACATTGACTAGCACAATGTCTTCATTTTCTATTTAATTCTACTTTCATATTATAGCTAATTTAGCTTCTGTTTATGGTAAATATATGATGTTGACCTACATCGTTGATTAAGTAATCTTTTGACATTGATCCATTTATTTTATTCTAAATTAAACAGGCTTAAGTATAATTTTTCAGTGTATGGAAAAGAGCAACCTGCATGGTCTGCATAATTTCTCTTTTTGTGTTCCACAGAAAAAAAGAAAGTCACACAACTTTTGGAATGACATAAGGATGAATAAATTATGATAATTTTAATTCTGGAGTGAATTATCCATTTAAATTATACAACAATCCAAAGAAAAGGAGAACGTTTAAAAATAATGAATGATACACAAGTTTACTATTGATTAAGGTAAAGGTACTCCTTGCTTAAATGGCAAAAATCAAACAGAAAGGATTGTGTTGTTAGTCTTGCAGCTGTCATGATGAGCATACTGCCTGAACTCATTCATGCCTGCACTTTCAATCTTGGCTGCAACTTGGACCCATTAAAACAACCACAACAAGCACGTAAACCTATCATAAGCTTCTTCCTAATGTTGTTTAGATGCTAATGTGAGGCTAATCTAGTGAAGGGTTAAAAGAAAACACACATAGCTGGCTTTGTGTGGGTTTTTCTGGATGTCTGAGTAAGCAGCACTCAGGGGACACGCAGGGGCCAACAGGTCATATTTGACCACTACTGACCCATCTACTTGCTCATCTACGGCAAACCGCAAGCAGCTGTCCTCACAGCAGACACACAAACACATCCCCACAGAGCAGGAGGAGGAGAGAGAAGAGAAGACGGTTTTGTTCAGCATTACGCTGAATTCTTAGTGAACACAACCGTTTTAAAGCAAGCACACCTTCACAGAACAACTTGAATGGACATGTATCTTAAACACAGCTCTTTAACAAAGAACATGCCGACTGCAGTGTGAGCATGTGTGTGTGTGTGTGTGTGTGTGTGTAAGAGAGAGAAATACAAGCATTTACTCACATCTGTGTCAGGGCCCTTGTCGGCCCCTGGACAGGAGAATGAAACAAACTCATGGCACCTTTTGTGGACCACAAAACAGCACACTGTGGATGAGAAGAAAGGGGAAATTAGATTAAAAAGCATAAACACATTTGTTTCATATTCAAATCAATATCAAACCAATACATACATCACAACATAGTTTGTGTGTGCTTATTGCCACATCAAATTCACACTGATCAAAAGTAATACCATTGCAATTTTGCGATTCTAGATACCAGTTTCATTATTTATTAATTAACACAGACCTTTATTTAAATATTAATAGATATATTGAATAAAATAAACCAAAGCATTCAAAAATGTCTGAATTAAGTTAACATCTCTTTATATTTCCAAGTTATCATTCAGTTAAACAAAAAAATTTGTAATTCAAACCACAGCTGGCATGTCTGGTCACACAGACTGATTGACAAAAGCAAAGTTTGAGGTGGTTCTGATTCTTTGAAAACATAAATATTAACAAAATGTATATTTAAGAAGAAAAAGAAAATTAGATAAAAAAATTTGATAAACTAATCAACCCTAATCTGCTAGTCTGGCTGTTTGACAACTAGCTAATCAAATATATATGTACATACATACTATAATTATTTATTGTATTATGGTAATATGTATCACAACCCAGAGGACAAGCAGTTTGAAAAATGAATGGATGGATGGTTATATGTAATATCTATTCTGATAGATCTGTAAATTGCTACAGCAGTCAGCGGCTCTCTCTCCTTATCAGCAATTCATAAACACATTTTAAAAACATCCTTTACAGTTTAATAATGGATTTACAGCCATATTCATTCTGACTCTCTTTCAGATGAAACATTGCTCTGAGAGTCCTGAAGGAGACACAAATGCTGCATCGTATTTGTAGAACTGCTCCCATGAACAAACGATTTCCAAAATCAAACAATTTCCCCATCAATCTGTGCACTGTAGCCTACTGCTGCTTTGGGGAAATCAATTCCAAGGTTTCTGTACCTGAGCCATATTTAATCAATAGTGGCTTTGTTTCAGAGCTAACTTACAATGCTGTGCTTCAGAGAAAAAGGAATCATATGTCACGACTGAATTCAATACACTGTGATACATCACATTATCATAAATGGCTCACTATTATTATGGCTCCAAACAAAAGAAACAAGACATTTGGTAACACTTCAGTATAGGGACCAGTTCTCACTATTAACTATTGCTTATTATCATGCCTAATATTAACATATTGGCTGTTTATTAGTACATTCTATTAGTAAAACGTCATAGCTAAGTTAATAGCGAGAATTGGACCTTAAAATAAAGTGTGACCAGACACTCACTGTTTAAGGTGGCTTTGATGCAGCATTACATTCATAGTGCCAATGATACTAGGAGAATTGATAACAGTTTCTTATTCACAATCTGTGTTGTTTTCGAAAATAGTGGAACTGATGGATTGTAATGAGTTCAGTTGAGAAATTAGTTTTTAAACGTGTTTATTCCTATGCTTCAAGCTACAGCACAGTCAGAATAATTCTTCTGAGCAAGTTCTTTCAAAGACTGTTGTATGTAAAGACACAATTCCTAGTATATTCATAGCAAATAGTATAGATCTTAAATATCAATGCAATATTGTAAGAAATAGAACAAATCAATTAATGTTACCGCCTACCCTGATTAAAACTTGTTGAATGATATCTTTCTCATTAAATAATCAGTGAAGTGGAAATATAAATATTGCTAGAGTAAAAGGCCTCACAGGTTGCTGGAAGGTTCTCTTGTGCTGATCTGTTGTATTACACACAGCTGAGAGTGGAGATTTGTTTAAATGTCACCGGCATCAGCTACATTATCGGCACAAATGCCTCCCACAAACAGAGGAGAGCTGGGAATGACTCCAATCCATCCAAGCCCCCGTCAACAGCTCCATACAAACACCACCCTTCAAGTTAGATTGTGCTACAGTCATTTAGATTTATAGTGTTGAGTGTTTCGTCTCATCCAGTTACATCTTCCTGACACATGTGACAGACTGAGTGTGAGCGATGACAACGACGAGACATGTATTAATGAATGAAGTGATCGGACAATATGAAAACATGTCACATACTGACTATGATTAACTAATGAGACAAATGTATTATAGTGTGTAAGGTCCACCCATTTAAATTAGTTACTGCTGCTATGTCCGACAAGCCATGCCGCTCTCACACTACACACCATGTTCTCACACAGTAAAAAATACATTGCGGAGCAAAGAGGAAACTGACAGCACTCCCTCAGACAAGACAAAGCAGGTTATTTTTGGTATGAAACAGTCTCGGCTTTCAAATTGTGTCATTTCTTTAAGAAATTCAAATAATAAATACAGTTTTGTGGCTCTTTAATGTGCTGTGACAGATCACTGTACTGCCTCAGTTAAAGTGGCACGTGAACCGATCATCTTTTCATATTTACTTAAATCACAAAAGAAACATGAATGAACATCAGAAGGGATTTTATTTCAACCGCGGAAACACGTCAATACACACGATTTTTAAAGTTCAAGTCCACTGAAATTGTTAATCAAGCTCACTGCGAAGGCTCAATTGGCCCAATGAAGGAATCCAACGGTTTCCTGCATGTCCAGTCTTTTTGGTGCGCAAAGTAATTTAATTTAAATTAAATTCTAAATCGGACTCATTTTATTACGACCTGCATCGAATTTAGATTGAAATGCAAATTGGTTGTTTGTCCATGTCTAATTATTATTCTTCTGACATTTGATTATTCTAGTTAACTCTTTACTTTATATTTTACTCATTCAATAGAAATCTATGTCGCACAGAGTGTCTCGCATCGGCCATTTTACGCGGACCTCACGGTCACAAACTCGCCAGTCTGATCATTAGCCAGAGATTATTGGCTACATGTGTGTGAATGATGCTGTGTAAGATAAGTGAAGATTTTGCAGAGAAAAACATGGAACACACACACATGCACACACAAAAACGTCATTCTGTATGATTCCTAAGCTGTTTTCCTCATGGGGACCAAATTACTATCCTTGTGGGGACACTAATGGGGAAAACACTGTTTTGGCCGGTAATGCCGAGTTCACACTGCACGATTTTCAAACTCGTCGGATCGCCGTTGTTTTCACACTGCGTGACTATCTGGGGTAGCATTCAGTTGCTACTGTGTTCACATTGCACGATGAATCAGTGACATGGGGTTTCACATTGCATGACTTCACAATAGGAAGAATCGCCGACAGCTCTGTCTGGTCCGCAAACTACGTTTTACAACAAAACACACGCGAGAAGTGATAAGGAAATAACGTGAGAACCCGCGTGCGTCAGACTGGAGTTCTCGAGCGAGACTGGAATTATTAAAAAAATATATATATAGCCCGCAAATTGTCTGTGAGCTGATTTCCGGCTACAAGGAGAAAAAGAAAAACTGATTATGCAGGAGGGAGATGCAGGGAACAGGGATTGGGTGTTCTGCAAAGAGAGTTGGAGGTAAATAATTTTGCAGTAACTGTTATGCTGATGTTGTGGCTGGTCAAGCAAATGTTTGTGCTTGTTTCTGTATGATATAATTGTTCATATATCTATTAAAATACTGATATGCTGGTCACTAACTCCTTCCCGAACTTCCCTCTGCCCTGTATCTTGGTCTCTCATTGGCTGTAAGTTATCGGCGATGTAGTTTTCAGTCAGAAATCATTGCACACAGCATGATTGTGAATCGCCGACAGCTCCAGATATTTAGCATGCCAAATATTTTGCGGGCGTCGGTGACGCGCCGGTGATTCCCTCAGATCGCGTCTTTGATAATTCACACTGCGTGATTGTCACTCGCGTGAACGAGCACCGATTTGCCTCCGATGTCGGGCATTTGTCGGCGATTTCACAAAACCTGTCGGCGAGTGAAAAATCGGGCTAAAATCGTGCAGCGTGAACTCGGCATAACATAAGACAAACTTTAGTGAGCTACTTCACTGTCTGCTGCCTGCATAGACTGCTAGCTTCTGGCAACATCATAACAAAAATGAAACTCCATAAGTGACTGATTTGGAACACTGTACAGAAGAAGAAACACACACAAAATACATACTCAACGATATATTTCATTAGTGATGGGTCACTCATGGGTCATTTAGTGATGGGTCATTCATGAACAATTTGTTCATTGCGTCTGTCATATGTAACAAATAAACGACTCGGGAGGTAGAGTAATCATTTATGTCCTCATAAACTGTCTTTGGACGCATTATAATGATTTCATGATTCGGAATATGATCAAGATTATGTAGGTGAATGTGTTCAGGGAATTTGGCATTTAACACCACTCAAATGAACAAAATAACACTATTTTTAATGAATGAAATCGAATGAGAGTCAGTAAAATCCCATCACCAGTTTTAAAAGAGCATGATGTTAGCATATTGCTAAGCTATTAAGAAATAGGCTAAAATACACAAAAACAAACAAAACACACATTTACACAGAGTCAGTTTCGATTGGATTAAACTGTTTGTTGCTTGCAGCATTGAATACACCTATTTTACATTCTCATACTGCCAGCATGGAAAAGGTGGCTGTAGCAATGCAGCTTTCTTCAAGTCCTGTGTTCAATTTAGGCCAAAAGAAAGAATCTTAGAAAACTAGATAATGTTTCTTCCTACCTTCCTGTCAGAAGCATGCCTATAATGCCTAAAAATGCTGACTAGGAAGGAAATTCACAAGGGTTTTGAACAGACCTGTTGTCCACAACCAGATGTTCATACAGTATAACCAAAAGCCACTAACACTCAGTATTGTCGACAACATTGACAGAGACAACATTGATTGATTGAATGGCAAACGTGTGTTTATTTGAGACAGCACAGTTTGTGTCCTGCTGTGTGTTTCTCTAATTTCCCAATGAGTTCATTACCGCTGTCAACTTGCATCCTCCAAAACACAGCCACCCACCCAGCTTCCTCTTCCTGACACTCCACTGACACTGTCCACACACAGGAAGACAATCACTGAGACATCTTTAGCAAGTCCCAGGGTTGGGTCTTAATTTAGAGGCACTGTGA